ATTTTCTGCGTTTTTCGCATGCATCTCTAGATGACAGAACTATCAGTCGATCTGAACGGCTGATTACTTATCTAGATTCATACCTTGTAGATGAAGTAGCCGGCGATTGACAATAAAAGCACTAATAAAAGAAGAATCATCATTAAGTTCGTTGAGAACACTTGAGTGGCAACCACTCAAAGTAATAGCGTGTAAATAAATGAACCAGACCAATAATGCAAACTTTACATGCACAAATGTTTTCGATAAGATTGGATAAAAAGTTGTGGTGAGGAGGTTATTCTGCTGCATCAACTCTGATGTAAAAAATTCCATAAACTTGGAGAGAGAGTGTGACTGAAATTGCGATTGCGGCAGCAAAAATACAAGGTGGGAAAAATACGATCTGGGATAGCCCCGCCCTCTAAAACAACTCCGCCCACTTTACCAAAAATGCCGGTTCGCCCACACAAGCAATGAACCCTGCGGTCCCAAAACGCTTGGCGACATTTCTAAAACGCATTTCACACATGTAATATGTGCAAAAGAGACTCCCATGCACAAACAAGAGCGGAATGTATCCCCTTATCTAACAATCCCGTTCTGCGTTCTACTACCCTGTTTAACTCAGAATTATACACTGCAGAAAGTGACTTTCTGAGCTTATTGCCACAAGTCTGCAAAAATGCGTGATGAGCTTTCTGCACGACGTAACTTCGCACAAAAAAGGAATCGTTCTCGCGTGACGATGTTCAATATTTTCGTTTTTTCTTTCGCTTTGCTTTGATCACTTCAATCACGCTTTATTCATTCAGGTTTTAGAAAAACTGGGAAGCTTCTAAAAAATGGAAGAGGCTTCGGATGAAATGGTAGCGGGAGATGTGAGCCACGTTCAGGTTTCCTTCTTCAGTGAGGATGAGACGTAAATCTTATTGTAAGCTCTGAACATCTTTACTTTCCATTATAATCTTTTAGGTTGAAAGTTATCCCTTCCGCAGTTTTCGATGTTCCCGTGTCGGCCACATACGAAAATCTTAATACATTAGTTAACAAAACCATAGCAGCAGCGCAAGGTTCGTATATCTCTTCTCAAATTTTCGTTCTCATTGCTTCCGCTTATTTTGATTCTAGAGAACTGGAGTGAAAAACGTTTTGAGCTCCTTATTGGCGAAACTTTTGTGCGGTCCTCTTTGGCTGAATTCATTGAAGAGCATAATGTTGATACGGTGAGATTTTCGAGTTTCC